GCTACTCTTAAGGCTTAAATTGACTAATAAATCTCAGATTGATAGCAACCAAATTGAAGAGTACAGTAATTTAAAATCCTAATTGACCCCCCAGAGTTTAAATTGGACGTATTTCTACCAAACAGACCTATGTGGAGGTGAGAAATATGGGGTGTGCTCGTTAGTTCTCTGGCCGTAAAAGTGAATGAGAATAATAAAGTGCCAGTGACGTCAGCGGCAATGATGGAGCATCCGCGCGAGACGGAGATCCTCGTCGGGGCGCTTTAACTCATGAGCCCTGTCCACAAGGCTCTGTTGCCATGCCCGCGGCTCATGAATCTCGCATTCAGTTGGCACATAGGTCTGTTTGATAGAATGTAAAATCCCACTTTTCCAATTCTTCAAAAGGAATCACACCCACTTTTACATTGCTCCTTATGCAGCTCTCTAGAGCACACCTCATATTTCTCACCTGCACATAGGTCTGTTTGGTAGAAATACGTCCAATTGTCCCATTTGACGCCCGAAAGTAGCCCCTCAAGAAGGGGAACGGTGCCCCTTCCAAAAATTGCTCTTTGATTGCAAAATCCATGTAGACCCTCCGGGGAAAAGTGGCATACTCGGTAAAAAAAATCCGAATTTTATGGTCTATAAGCTTTCTTGACCTCTGTTGGGAGGATTAGAGGGGTCGCACCTATCATTCGGGTTTTTCGTGAAGAGGGGGGGGGGGGTTTCAGAGTATGGGGTTTTCGGATTTAGACTCGGTCTTAGTCTTTCTTTGGTACGACTCCAGGAAGAGTCTTTCCATAATTTTTCATGTTGATGATCTGGACGGAAAACCCAGATATACACTCCTCTCCCCCTCCCTCCTGTCCCACCGTTTATCGGATCGGCGGCTGAAGGGCTTCAAGACCATGAAATTCGGATTCCTGTCTCCGTAAGAATCGAAGTCAAATTTGAGAGAGATAGTGGAGGGGACACTGCCCCAGTGACCCTCTTTAGAAAGTCATCTTCGGGCCTGAAAATTTCCAATTTTAAGTGAGAAATGATCTCACACGATCATTTACTGGCCTCCGAGATTTAGAACAGATCGACTGAAACAGTTTTCACAGTTACCCTCGAATTTTCTCATCTGGCGCCTTAGTATTTTTGAGAATGACCGATTCAATTGTGGATCGTATTCGATACATAAAAGAGGGGAGATTTTATCGATATCGATTGGTTCATCATGTAAGCGTTGCCTTTAAAGGAAATTGAGAAAACTGAATGAACCCGTTTATTGTGATACATTTTTGACACTTACGAGTACAAAATGGCTATAAGTAGTGAAATTGTCCGGAATTTTCTCATATTTAGCTTTTTCAACTTAAATCCTAAAATTTTGGTTTGAGGCCATGTTCTATTGTTTTGAACCAAACGATACATCGAAACACTATCGAATTCGATTTATTACTTTATTTCGGTCACGATGCTCCCGGAAAGCCCGCGAAATAATTATCCTCCTGAATTCCCTGAACCCTTCCAGTAGTATGCTTTTTCAGTCAACCCCCCCCCCCCCCCCCAGAAAAAAATTGATAGATCATATTCGATACATCAAGCAGGTGAGATTGTTTATCGATATCGATCGGTTTAACATGTAAATATAGCCTCAAAAGTCAAGTTAGAAATCTGAGGTAACGTGTCTTTTGTGATCGAATTTTTTTTTTCATTCGAGCACCAAATGGCAATGCAAATTGAAATTGTTGGGAATTTCATCATTTTCAGCTTTTCTGACGAATATTGTTAAATTTTTGTTTGAAGTTATGTGCTATTGTTTTGATCCAAACGATACATCGAACCACTATCGAACACGATCTATCTCATTCATGGTACTGATATGCTAACAGCTTTTTTGATTTTGTCGCGCGAAAACCTCCAATTATTAATTTTTAATTTTTTTTTTTCAGTTAACAGATGCAAAGCAAAATGGCGCTGTCTAAGGACACTGTACGTCCGGTCCGTTCGAAACACAAACGGAGGCAAGAAACATAAGAAATGGTACCTAGCCGACGCTATGACATTTGTGCTGCCGTACATTCTCGGCGGACCCCAACGAGAGGAAAGTTCCCTCCACCTCTCTATCCCAGGAATCTCCGATGATAGCAGAATCGATGAAACCGCCCCAGATTTCATGGAAAATGAAGGTTCGATCGAATGGGTCGTGGATGAAAATGATGAAACAAACCCGCTAGACACTGCTTCCAACAGTTTCCCAACAAATTCAAATGACGCCAAGAGAAGAAAGCTATCACCCTCCACCTCGGAGGCCGTTAATACGCATTTCGATGAGTATCTCAGGAACGCAACTGCGCACAGTCGAAATCAACAGCGTGAAACTGGGTATAGTCGAAATCAACAGCCTGAAACTGGGTACAGTCGAAATCAACAGCCTGAAACGGAGGACCCAATCATTGCTTTCTTCAAGAGCCTCATGCCTGATATAATTAAGTTAGATTCTAGGAGACAACGACATTTTAAAGCTCAAGTTATTGGAGTACTAAATTCGATGCTTGATAGCCAAGAAGACGCAGAAATGGCTAGTTGAGAGACCTAAGTCAGAGTTCCCATTTTGCCAGAGGCGGATCCAGCAATTTGACAACAGCGAATTCCCTCTATTTAAACCTATGTTAAAAAATCGATTCTTGTCGGAGCATGTAGCCCGTCGAAGAATCGATACATTTCCGTTGGTGTGAATGAGGAAAAACAACGTTGCCAATTTGCTGGATCTGCCAATGCATTTCGATCGACCAATTTGTGATGTTCATTCTCAATGGCATAGTGCTACATATTTGTAACAACACATTTTTTGTTTGTTTGTTTTTTTTTTTTCAAATATTGAACTATTTTTGTGTAGTAAGATGATGCAAATTTTTGCAGTGTTTTTTTACGTTGAAAAATCATTATCCAAATTTTGAAATTTTGAGGAAAAATTCAAGACTCTATGTTTTTTACGAAAGCTACAGCATAGATTTGTATTCCCCAGAATCCAAAACTCAAAATTAATTCTTGCCATAGAGGGTTAATATCGTTACTTGTGATAATTCTCTTATTGATATTGTACCATATTGTTGTATGTGATCTCAAAAATAAAAATTATTGTACTGAAACAAACAATCTCATATTCACAATGACGTATATTTCCTATGGGTGCATTGACGTTTGCGGATGGTTGAAATATAAAATACCTGTAATTGATTTAACAATTCTTTTATGTACAGAAAAAGTAAATACATAAAATAAATTAAACAGTGATATACAAAACAGGACAAGGTAACATATTTTTTCATGGTTTTGCAACGCTCCAATTTTTGTGCGGGCTAACAATTTCAAAATCCACGACATTGAAGGTTATTGAAAAGGCACATATGAGTTTGATCTGGAATCCCATAATTTTTTTTGTCGATTCCGATTTTTAACTTTATAATGTTTACCAATTAAAAATTGAAGTAGAAGCTTTTTTTTGTTGAGACTGATATGATATTGTTTTTAATTTGCTCTTTGGATGTAGCAGCTATGTGCCTCAGAAAACGAAGAGCGAGTGAAGGCATTTTGAGATAATATTCCTAAAAGTGTAGACGGAAGCCCTGTCTTGTTTCCAATTTTTTCTTCGCGGTGCAATCATTTTTATCGTGCATTATTATAGAAATGCTTTCATCCTAAATATTTTCTAACTTCATCATCTTCACGCGTAAATTGCACGCATACGTTCGTAAGTAATGTATGCTTTTGAAGCGTAACAATGCCACATTTTTAATCACAATCTGCCATTTTTTCTTTTTCTTTTCTTAAATTGCCGAAGTTAAATCATGTCTGATTCTTAAAAGTGTTAAAAGTAACATGGTGAGGGGGTACCTATCCACCATGAGTTTCGGTTCATTCTTTGAAAGAGCTCCTCGTACTTAGTTGGGAGACGAGTTTTTTCTTCCTCTTGTTAACTTACTTGTGTATACATTGTTATATTTGAAGACTTCATAGAATGAAGTAGTGGAGTTTTAAAACACTGAGGCACTAACTAAGAACATCAATAATTGGTTATAATGTTTCTCATGCACATTAAAATTAAAATAAATTAAAGTGTAAGCTATATACAAATATTTCACTTTCAATTTACAATTTATTCGCACTGTCTCATATTCTCTTACAAGATTTACTGACATAAATTTTGTAGATACGAAGAAAATCATAATTTTACTCACTCTTTTTGCTCTCTTTTCATCAGTTTCGTTTTTCAAAAGCCGTTCAAAAAATTTGCCAATTTTCCCGTTTGGTTTAATAGCACAAGTACGGCCTCAACACTTTAGCACCGTAAGTTTCTTTCGCCATTGAAGAGAGTGCCTTGTTAAGAGGACGAAGTTTTTAGTGGCGCGCAAAAAAACCATTATTCAAAAATGGTACATGCGACATTAATTCCATGTCTGAAGAGAATCAAAATTCTCTCATTTTTGCCTAATCCGATTACATAGAAACACGAAAACCGTGCGACTCCATGTAGCCGAGTTTTCAAAAATAGAAATTCAACAACGATAAATTTAATTTAAATAGCTAATTAATGGGCACACAATGTCGCATATGTGTAGCTATTTAATTGCAGTTTATTGCTGTAAAATTTCTATGTTTGAAAACTTTGCTGACAAGGCACTGAGAAGGATCTGAAAGTGTATAGTTTTTGACGAAGAGTGATTTTCAAATGTGAATTGAGGACAGAAATACTTTGGTTCTTTCTGCAGGTCGCAGAATTAACTTGGAAAAGTTTCCGTAATCAGTATCGATAAAAAGGGAATGTGTCATATGATGTCAAGCGGCCCAAAAAAGTATGTTTTGATGTTATTTTTTAACCTCTAACTGATCAATTCAAAGCAATCAATGACCAAAACCATATTTTTATCTTCAATTCAATTTGAACTCTCATCCTCGACACGCATGCAAATATCGAATAAAAAGGAGCAAAAGCGCATCATAGCAGGGGCGTCGTTTGGGGAGGGCGGAAGGCTAATTACCCCCATGATCTTAAGGTGGACTTTTTTCAGGGACAGTCGTGGTTAATTTAAGTGCATTTTGGGAGATTTTTTTATAATTTTCTCTGAGCAATTTTTCTTCATTTCCGAAAAATTTCCTTAAGATTTGACCGGAATAGTCGTCCCTAAGACAACAGAGCGTAACTATATTTCAACGTATTCTCATCGGCAGATTTTTGAGAGAAATTTTATGTGCAACTTTAACTCAAAATTGTTTTAATTCCCTTTTTGATCACAAACGAAGATCAGCGTTAAAATTTCACGGCAATATTCGTGTAGAGACTTGACTTTCGTGAGTCAGTATACCAACCTGGGAGAGGAGTCACGATCCCTCGTTTCGAAAACGACGAAATGACGCCCCTTCATTTTAGGCCCATGCTACCCCACTGACCCATTCAAACATTCCTGAGGAAACGTATTTACAATTTAGAGATTTCCACGTCTCTTTGGTACAGTGGCGATTCCTGCAAGTCGGCAACAGTGTTTTCCTCCATTCAAACGTGTGTAAAACAATCGATTCTCGATGAGGCAGGCTGCCTGGCCTAAAATCGATATTTTCCATGGTTTTAAATCGAGGAAAAACAGTGTTGCCACTTCTTTGGTATCGAGTAAAACTACGACTACGCCGTGCTTCCGAGCAGACTTCTGGTCTCCAAATTCGAGCCGTAGCTGGAGCTGTACTTGGCGCCGATTACTGTGGCGGTCTCCTTGAGGTTCCAGGTCCCAAGGCGGTTCTTGTAGCTGTTGCTCGGGATGAGTCCGGCGGTCATCCCTGGGGGTCGCTCGGGGCACGGCGAGGGGCCCGACCCCCCGAGTCTGTTCGTACTGCTCCCCTCGTGGAGGGTGCCCGAGTGGTTGAATTTGTGACTCGAGAAGTCGTCGAAGCTGTCCACCTGCTTGTACAAATTCGGGCGACGATTCGAACAGCAGATGAAGATCGCCGTCACGAGACCCTGTACACGGGAAAAGGTGAAAATATGTGATTAAAGCATGTCGAAAATTGGCAACTTGCTTTTATCTCCTTTTAAGGTGATTCGATGGACGTTATATTTCGTGTCAGAACGACATGCGATATATCACATCGATTGGTTTCGTTTTTTTAGCTATTTGTCATTTTTTTTCGAATTTTGAGATCGCAATTCTGTTGTCAGGAGACTAAAAAATTCACTTATCAATTCTGACAAACAAATTCAACGTAATAAAGGCGTACTCGCGTACTCGAATGCGATATTTTCTCTCTCCAAAAAAAAAAAAAAAAAAAAAAAAAAAAAAAAAAAAAAAAAAAAAAAAAAAAAATTGTCCATGGTCAACTTCTGCTAAAGATAGCTTGTGTGTATTTCCTATTGGAATTGAATCCTAATTGAATTGGAAAAGTTTCAATTTTTTTCAAATCATGGAGCTTTGAATGGATAAGAATTCTAGTAGAAAAGAAGACTCGAGACTCCTTGGATCAAAGAAAATGTTTTCATAGGTTCTACTTGTAAAGTTTTCTGAGGAGTCAGGTTTAGCTTTAACTAGTTTTTGAATCCTGGAATCTGATCGTAAACTATGTGTGTATAAGGTGTACATACCACGACACAACTTGATATAACGATGAACATAGTTGCGTTTGGAAACTTGAATCTATCCATCAAGAAACCACCCACTGAAGGACCAATGAATGCTCCAAGGGCAAAAGTTGATGTCCAAAGACCAGATATAAGACCATATGTCTCCAGGTTGTTCGGAAATCCATGGGCTCTGTAACATCACAACATTCCACTCGGTTAAAGTGTCAATTAATTGAAACTAATAAAATATCGAGGAGAAACACTGTTCAATATCTTGCTATATTACATTCATGATTTAGACCCTCTTTTCAAAGTTAATGTAATTTTCTGCAAATCTGGTGAGGACATAGAATAAAAATATTAAAAATAATGGTATAGGTCACGATTTTGCTATCAATTGTTTCGAATAGATATGATATGCCTCTGAGAAACAACGTTCATTTGCTTTGTAGAAAATTAAACTACCCTCGATCTATGATATGTGGTTTCACTTGTATTTAAAGTCCCCTTCAATTCACCATGCGGCAATATTTCATACACCACCGTGTTTTCCGGCGAACGAAAGAGATGATGGCAAAATTAATTATTTTATTGTCTCCTAACATTTCCATCGGGTGATAAAATGTGCTTTGTTTTTCTATCACTATCACTATCACTATCACCCCTTAACACACTGAAATGACAATGAATTTTTATGGGTAGATTTTGATTTATTTCCTGTGCTTACATTGCCGTGCGGAGAGCATCGGTGAAAGATGCGACCAAACAGGTTCCGATTCCAAGACCATGGATGACCAATCCCAGTATAGTTATTCCCAGTTTGCTGAAAACAATGGAATTATAATATTAAAAAATTAAAGATTTAAGGATAAATAAAATATTTTACCCTCCAGAGGAACGACAAATCCTCAGCATTTATTTTTTCACTTATATTTTTCAACTACTCTTTCCTTAAAAATATACACATTTCTTAGCTTAGTGCTTCATGTATTCATTTTTCCTATCATTTTTGTATTAATCTATTAACCTTGCCACTTATACAGGCCACACAAACGTGAACACATTGCAATCCCAAGTTTATATCTCGGGCGGGAGACTTAAACACTAGGATATGAAAGTAGTGTGAGATAATCTCATCGAACAGGCGTGTTCTTAAATTTTCTCAACGAGAGGCTTTAAAGTCAAAGATGTTCCATTTAAGTACAATGTAATTTCCGTTTTTGGATCATGCCATATGTTACCAGCATGCACGCTTGCACGCAATGCATACGAGCCTTTAAATGCCCACGAAAATGTCTGAGAAAATGGACATATATATACCTACTCATCTAGCTATTCCAATGGATTATTTTAGCTTTACAAAAAAATTGATAAGGGAACTAACATTCACGATGAAATATATTAAAACAAAAAAATGTTATGTTGATATTTTCCAAAAACAGAATCACTTTAAATAGAGGATAAATGCGTTGAGATCTTTAGCTTTCTTCCTGTCAAACTACGTGATATATTTTAGTAATAAAAAATCTACACGAACTATATGATAGAAACTCAGCAATTGACTCGATGTCCGCATAGGCATGAAATTACTTGTACTTACGTTTGTAAGTTTAAAAATGGAGCCGGCCCAATGAGGCAAAAGCTAATCATCAGAAGAATAGAGCCAAGAACGGTGATGATTTTTGGGCTGACCAATTTGTCACACACCCATCCCCAGCACGGTGCAGTGACAGCGTAAGTCCCACCATTGATGACAAACATCAAACCAAGCTGTATAGGCGACAGTTCAAACTTGCTCTGGAAGAAAACGATGTAACAAATTAAACGACCGTTTTAAAGTGTTATTTAATGTTAATTAATTAATTAATTTAAGGTGTTATTAAGTCTTTATTTATTATAAGCAAAGTTTCTTGAGAAGTAATGGAGATGTTGCATGTGTGAGGAATTTGCGATTTGACTATCGATTCTTGTGTAAAAGTTCGGAAGAAACACGATGGTGCCACTGGTTTTCTCTGAAATCAACTCCCAAGCTCAAAAAAAGCTCTCGAGTTGAGGCCAAAATGGAGGGGATATCCCACGATATCCTGAGAGTCCACCCCTACATCAAAAAAAACTTTCCATGCAAAGATAGGGAGCAAATACATTAGCAGTGATGCCGTGTTTTCAGTTTTAGAGTCCCCAAATAAAGTGGCAGCCCTGTCAATGTATTTGCTCCCTATCTAAACATGGAGAGTTTGTTTTGATGTAGAGGTGGACTCTCAGGATAGCGTGGGATATCCCCGCCATTTTGGCCTCACTTTGAGAGCTTTTTTTGAGCTTGGGAGTTGATTTCAGAGAAAACCAGAGCATTCAGTTCCAGAGTTTTCCGTGGACATATTGATAACTTAAGTTCGAGGCAGGTTCACCTCAAATAGCAAGGAATATTTTAGCTTACCGCTCTCAGGTGAGGCTCCAACGTGGCAGATAGGAACCCAATACTGGATGAAGTGACTATAATGCTGCAAGCTGCTAGGAACACCCCTGGAATTTTGAGGACTTGCAGTAGACTAGCTGGAAAGGCAAATAAATAGATACTTTAAACAGCTAATCAGAATGAGTGGAAAAAAAGTCAATGGCTATGATTATAAAGGTATATGAAAACAAAGTGAGTGCCATGCGATCTCGAGTCGCTTATTTCTCCCCCCCCCATCTCTCAGCATTATTAATCCTTTCTGCTGACTCGCTCCATTCTGCCGTGCTAAGGAAGAACGCCATATGAGCCATCAGGTGACAATTTCCTCCGATTAAGCACAAATTTTGAAAAAAACTGTTGGATATTTTTCTTCAAAATTTTCAGACAATTTTGTACACCTTTTAATATAAAATATCCCAAAATGTCAAGGAAAAATATGCACAGCTTTCCTATAAAATGCATTTTTTGTCGGGGGAAATTTGGCAACTCTTGAATGTACGTACGGCGTTCTTCCTTAGCATGGCAGCATTGTTGTGCATAAGCAAAAGCAGTTCATCCGCACTGAAGTATGCATCTTTTGAGTTCGCACTTTTACAGTATTTCCGTTGTTTTGCACATTCAAAACTTTTTGACATTTCTTTAATTTACAAGAAAACATTACTTGACTTACATCCGTGAGATGCATTGACATCTTTTTCTGGGTGATCAGGCAGCACAAGTGCTGTCATTGCTGCTGATAAGAAGAGGAGAAAACCCAAGGTGACGAACGGAGTTGTGAAGCCACCGACCTGAAAATGATTAAATTGTTGTAGAGATGTACAACATAAGTTTATAACAACATAAGTATGTTGTTGTACATAGTAAGTGTTGAAGGCAATCAACAAGCATTCGCATTGGAAAAAAAACACATTGGGTCTAGAGTCCAGACTCTTGAAAACATTCAAAAGAAAAAATACTCTTGATTCAATCAGATTTTTGCTTGAATCAAAAGGAAATCCGCTCAAATTAAGAGGCTTGGTTCTTGATTTAAGTAAAAATCCGACGAATCAAGAGAATTTATTTTGTCGATGTTTTTAAGCGTCTGGACTCTAGATCAAATGTGTTTTTTTTTTTTCAGTGCGGCTTTGAGGCTTGAGACAAAAGGATACTAAGTAAATCTAGAAAGAAAAAAAAAAACTTGAATATATTCTGTTCACTTCCGCTTGACTGGTAACCCTCTCTGACATTGTCAATCAATTCATCGATGTAATTAATTATCTCTTACATTTTTGGAATATTTGGCGATGCCCCGGCTTTGCTTGGCGATTAAAACAGGAAAAAGATATCTCAATCTGTGGAAGCTCAAGTAAATAAAAAGCTATCCTCTGATGAAAAAATGTAGTTAAAAAAACAATTTGAAATCTTTTTTTCTGAAATATTTTCATTAAAGCTAAGTTTCTGGAGAAAACACGTAAAAACAGCATACCATGTGTTACTCGCCAGTCACAGACATAGATCACTCTTACTAAAAAAGCACATGGATTTTTCGCTACTGTTACGATCGCTGACACAAGTAAGGGAGCTATTTCATGATGATACCACTATTCGACCACGTAGGAGCTCGTCTTGCCTACACTAAAAATTGAAGGCGAACTGATACGGTGTTAAAGGAACTTCTCTCCGTCCGGTAAAAAGCTATTTTGCGTGTGTGTTCAGAGTAAGAGTGTCATTTTATAATGATACCCAAAAGCGTGTGGTGTTGCCTTAAAGCGTGAAAGTTTTTATTGCCTACACTGGAACCTTGTATGTGGATATTAGTCAAAATTCCTGTATAATTTTGACTATCAACGATAGCAAACTATGTTAGACAAGATCACTTATTTCGACTTTTCCATTCCTCTAACAAGCATAACTGGCATTTTGCATCAACAGTACCATTCAAGATATAGAAATTTTATTGCGCTCAAATCCATTAATTACCTGATACAGAGCACCTCCCAGGGTTGGACCGACAATCAAACCTAGCCCGAAAAATGTCTCTAACGATGCCTAGAACAGTAAGAGAAACATTCAGTTGGTTATAATCGGATCATTGGACCAATAAAGTTAGCAGTAATATAAAGCAGCGCAATAAAAGTACCTATCGCATGATGATAATCGAAAATGGAGGTATAATTATTATATGTGTTCTAACGCTTGAAATCATAACGTAGGTAATGCAGAAAAACATTAAATTAAAATATGTTATTTCTTTAGTCAATTATTGTTTTAAATTAATTATACACATTTTTTCTTTCTGGAATGGAGCTTATTATTTCAGTCGATCTCGAGCCTTGCTGGAATCACACAATGAAAAAATGCTTTCTAAGATGCTTATGCTTGCAAATTACATAGACTGCATCTTCCTACATAGTTCTACACTTATTTTTGCTAATGAAACATGTTCAGACGATAACAAAATCTGCTTCGCATCGACCGTCTGTGGCGGCAATGAGGAGCATCGCTTTATCAAGACAATTATTAATACTCTTGCATTCGATCTTCTTGACACATTTTAGTTATTTATGGCATTTAAAGTGGCGACTTTTTCATAAGATACCTAACGCATGATAAATCAACGATTCTGGATGATATCCGAGGTTGACCAACACACTGAACTTTAAAACTGTTGTTTTTTCACCCTATGGTCTGTCACAAATCATTTGCATGCTTTTACAAGCTCTAATTATCATTATGTATTTTTTCAACAGTATAATGGTTGATTGTAAGAATAATGGGTCCCTAGACTAAGATCCGAACCAAAAAAAAAAGTTATGTATTTTCTCCTCAAAATCTTACGTAGAAAACAAGTCACGTGTCAGAAAGCTCGAACATCAACTCCTGAACGAGTTATTGACAGTTATTGATGTCTAAATACACCAATTTAAACATTTTTACAACTATTCTGATACTCTGAACTGAAAATAAATATTTATTGTAATAAATTCCGAGAATCGGAATATCGACGGTGTAAGTCTGCAATCACATAACTCGTTTGCGTTGTCTAAAAATCTCCGCCTCTATGTTATTTTTTTAAAGGAGAACAAATTGACATCATTCCTTGAAGTTTTTGCAGAATTTTTTTCACACAAAGAAGAAAAATCACGGCAGCTTCAAAGAATTGCCGTTGAGTAGTTTTTCGTTTAAAAAATAAAGTATAACAGGAAGTCTGCGACGTCGCAAACCGAGTTATGTGATTGCCGACTTACACCGTCGATATGTTTTATATCAAATGAGAGTGGAGGATATCAAACACGTCATTCATGGCGTGAATCTCAATTTTTCCGCCATAGAAAAAAAATTGCAAAAAATTAATAAATAAAAAAATGATGTACTCACAAAAGTTGTCGCAATATTATCAGGAAACTCTTTTGCAATAATTGCAAAACTTGCGGTTAAGAAAGCTGCATTTCCAAGAGCCTCAATGATTCGTATAACAAACGACAAAATGATGAATGGGTAGTGGCCTTGAACATAATGTAAAAGACTGCAAAATGAAATAAAAATAAACAAGTTATTAAAGCAATAAGAACATAATTCTACTAAAGTCGAATATCCTCCGCAGCGGATCTAAATGTGTCAAAAGGGCACTCGCACCCAGAAATATTTTTGGATGCCATGTCGGCTTTCGCGTTTACATGTGAGCTCCAAAAACACTTTGACATCATTTTTCGTGCGTTCATATCTCTAAAAAAAACCCGGGAAAATTTCTGTGAACTAAGGGCACTTTTTATTTTTCAAAAATACAAGAGTAAAACTTATTGAGCAAGCGCATTGTTCAAGAGAAAGCTCCTTTTTTTTAAAACCCTGCTGATTTTAAAGTGCATGCAACAGTAAAAAATGAAATTGAAGTAGTTAATCAAGGCCAACGAAAGCATCTGATTGGCAAGATCAACGGTATGCTAGAGTATTCCACCCTTCGATCCGCATAGAATAGTAGTTTCTTGAACCATTTCAACTTCTATCTTTCGAGGAGATCACAATATTAAGTATAAACCAATAATTTTTCTCTGTCAGACATTATTATGGGCATACTAACAATTCGACGGTAGGCATACTTAACGAGAATCAAGAACTTACCCGAATAAAATGGCACATATTCCAGTCGTGAATATCCCTCCATTAAATAAATACTTCGGTCCTATTTGATTCAGCTGGAATGATGAACAAAGAATATTAGTATAGCAGAAAGAAAAAATAAAAGACACACCTTAGGATTATGCTGTTTTTCTCGAAATAGCTTATTTGAAACCTATGGGGCTGTTTAACCTCTGTTTTAAAATTTCTAATTTGCGCAGTAATTTTTTCTGAATGTAGGCATCGAGGTCAATATTCTCAGAACATTAATTGCTTCTATCCATTAAAAATGTTATTCCATTCATCCCGTTGTCAACACAGAACTTTCATGGCCTTTGATTATTGTTGAGGTTATCAAAGTGAAGATAGGTTTCACGTTGGTAATATTCCCCGTTTCAGCCTTACGTAAGTGGAGAAATTCGTGGAGAAATTGATACAAAAGGGGATTATGAACATCACAATCACATGCATTGAGACCCAGCAAACGACTATTTTATGTTTATTTCCTAAATCGAATTTCTACGAGGGAAAGGTTTGATATTTTTCATATCTTCGTAATAGTTTAGTAAATTATTACACTCGCATTTATTCGTAGGAGGATGGTAAAAAAGAACGAGTTCAACACGAAATTAATAAAGGGGGAAACCGGGTTCTTTAGTATTTCAAATGATGGTTAAAATAAAATTTGGCTAGTTTGGGTAAAAATTAATGGTTTCACGGAGCCTTAAACTGAAATGGTTGTAATAATTCACATTCCTCAATAATTTTTCTCCTGTAAAGTTTACTTTTTTAACAATGGGTGTTAACATGGAGTAGAATATTAACGACATTGCAACAAATGCGCTTTTTCACATCTAATTTTATAATTCTTTTTCTGCTTTAATTTGAAGTCTCTTTATTTTCGTTGTACATTAAACTTACTCCTTCCTATCAACATAGCTATTAATAGATCTTTTATCTCCACACATACTCAGATCTACGCTTTAACTTTACCTCCGGTTTCTCTTTGACTTTTGTATCGACAAATGACTGATATACTTATCTAGAACTTTCTTACAGATGTAACACGCTTCATGTTTTTGTTTATCATGGAGAAAACTGACCAATAATAATTAGTGTGACATTCTGTGCTTTATTCACGAGCATAAGAGTTCGTTGCTCAATGATGTAATAGGTACCTCTACTGTGAGTGATTGACTTTGTGATGAAAGTTAAATAAACGACTACTAATTTTCGTAAACAGTTGATCGTTTGTCAAAGAGATATGTCATTCATATTAAGAGAATGTTAAACAGAGTTGCAACCACGCAATCATCTACGAGAGAAAAAACTCCGGTTACGATGTTCGAACTTCAGTTCGCATTCAACACTGATGTTCACTGTCCAGGTAACCTCGTCACAGATACATAGCTTTCCTACGGATAACCGAAATTTTTGGTAAAATATTATACGAGTCTCGGTACGAATGACAAGAACATTGGTTTCTAGAACCGAATCTCGATTCCTTTGACTGAAAAACTCCATAACTAGGAACAAAAACTCTGGTGACCTAAATGAAAAGTGGTTTTTTGCTTCGTGTAAAGAGACAGCACAACCAATTTTTCCTTTTCAAAAGTGAGGAATAAAGTAAGAGGCAATTAAAATTGTGACATAGTTTAATTTTTCGGATGCGTTTTTGCATGAGTTTGCAAAACTCAATTTCTAAATTTTCTTGATAAAGAAATGATCGTTGGGGAAAAGTCCTACTAACTTTGAGGATTCACCGCAAAACTACGTATATGCGAAAGGATAAAAAATTAAAATTGTTGTACAGGTATGATACTCACACGTTGCCCATAAATAGGACTGATAATGAAGACTACCAATTCAAAAATACCAAAAACTAAGCCATACTCTGTTGCAGAGGCACCTTTATCTTCAGCCTGAAAGTAAAAATTGAATTCATCAAACAATTTGTAGGGGGTAAAGACTAGGCTTATAAAATAGGTAATGTGGTGGATCGTAGAGGACATGGTGTAATGGCTGTTGCGTTTAATGTATTTGAAGGCGATTCGTTAGTTTCCTTATATTGACTGTTGGACGTCGTTCAACATCTACAACTCTTATGTTGAGAGAGATATGTAAAGCTGTTTGCGAAATTATTTGAGCAGTGTCAAGCAGAGGGGCCAGTCTTGATTAAAAGCTTTTTTCTACACCTCCCAGTCTTTTTTTTATCACGTTACTTGTCATATCGGAATTAACTCCATGGCAGGATCAGGGTTGGTAGTCTGTATTTTATTGATAGTTAAACTGATTTTAGGGCTTATTTTTGAAGAATTGAAGCCCTTTATTTTCGATTAAATGAATAAAAAATAACTAATATTACTATAGGTGAAGCCTTATTAATCGCTACGTTTACCTAACCCAGAAAAATAAACATAGTATTACACCTTCAATCAAAGAATCTTTATAGTAAGTGTGAATGAAAAGGAACAGAACAATTTATGTTCCAAAATACAGATTATATACCGACATTATCTGGATATTTTATCATTTTCAAAATTATTAAGTAACGTTGAGGCAAAAGAAAAAAAAAATATGATACTGATAACGTCAACAGTGCTTCCTCAAAAAAGTGCACATGACATTCTTAAAAATATTAATTTTGCCTGCTATTATTCTGTGAAGAATTTCGCATTGCGAATAAGACAAGTTATTACATCTTCGGTAATATAGTCTGATCCACTCTTAAAAATCTAGAGAAATTTGACGTAATTAATATCATCAATCAATTAACATGAAAATACATAGGTTGTCCCAAAAGTACTGCACGTTTTTTTCTTATTGACGAACGGTAGTAGATATCAAAATGCAGTTTGTGTAGTCTTAAAGACCGGCCAATTACCGATAAAACAAGACAAATCCGAGCTCTCTAAGTCAAAAATTGACCAAGTTACAGCGTTTTGAAAATGACTTGTAGAGGGGACCCCTACGGGATTTTCAGCTTCTTTTCTGGAAAAAAAAACAAAGAATTAAGGATTCAAGTGGTTTTATTAAATCAATTTTGCAGAATCTTACCAAGATTACTAGCATTTACTCTTCTTTACTGGATGACTGGACATTAGTTTCCGTCTCAAAATACCCTCCATCTCTTGCCACACAGCGCCGCAACCGTTCTTCCCAATTCTTCAAAGATGGTTTTTTCGAATTCTTCTTGCCTAATGTTCTTTAAGAAAGTTTCAACAGCTCTTTTCATCTCGTTGATGGAGTTAAACTTCCTGCCTCTTAAGCCCTTTTTCAACGTGGGGAATAACCAAAAATCGCAGGGTGCAAGGTCTGGGCTGATATCATGTTACCAACTTCATTCGATCGTGACGATTTCTCTGTAGAATTTTTGATCAATCAAATCTTTGTTTTTTTCCAGAAAAGAAGCTAAAAATCCTGGAGGGGTCACCTCTACAAGTCATTTTCAAAACACTGTAACTTGGTCATTTTTTGACTTAGAGAGCTCAAATTTGTCTTGTTTTATTGGTAATTGCTCGGTCTTTAAGACTACACAAACCGTATTTTGATATCTGCTACCGTTTGTCCAAAAAAAAACAAAACAATCAACTCTTTGTTTTTTCCAGAAAAGAACCTGAAAATTCCGTAGGGGTCCCCTCTACAAGTCATTTTCAAAACGCTGTAACTTGGTCAATTTTTGACTTAGAGAGCTCGGATTTGTCTTGTTTTATCGGTAATTGGCCGGTCTTTAAGACTACACAAACCGCATTTTGATATCTACTACCGTTCGTCAATAAGAAAAAAACGTGCAGTACTTTTGGGACAACCTATGTATATTGCTTACCTCCTTGGGGTAGAATGGAGCTTGAAGTGAGACACAGATGGCGTTACAGAAGTCGGCAATACTGAACACAACCAGGGTTAGCCACTGGCGTTTGGTAAAATTACTAAAAATTTTCATCTTTATTAAAATTTTAAAATATATTCTAGAATAAAATGACTAACACAGACACTTTGGATACAATCGTGAAATTTTTGTTTAATAATACTTTAGTGATTTTCAATTTTCATGACTCGAGAATTCTAACCGTTTCTTGCGAATTAGAACACTTTTTAATTTTACGTATGGAACCACGCACTAAACGTTTATCACCAACTTATGTTGGTAAATTTTGAGCTCGACGACACATATTTGAACGATTCTTCTATCCACTCATGTAGCTGTCCATCATGTTACATCCGCAGTGAGCAGAGAGCACCTCATACTAATTTTGAAGACGCAAGCAATTAAAATTCAATCAGTTTTCAGCATTGAAACTGAACTTTGATAACCTGTCGACAAATAAAGATAACACTGTAAAATTTCAGTGTAAGGCAGAAGATTCCAGACATATATTGAAGGTAATAATGCTCTGTAATTAAGGCATCCCAATGAATTTTAAATTTTAGAGGCACATTACATCTTTAAAGATATGAATATTTTCTCAGTTATGCTTATATCTGATATTCAAAAGGAAAAAAGCAATCGGTTACTTGTTTTACTATTCTGCATTGAAGAAAATATTTTCTCCCGTAAACCTAAAACTTGGAATAAAATTTTGAAGCCCCAAATCTGCCGTAACAAGTTTCACAAGCCTAAGAGGTTACTTATTAGCTCCTCTTTTTAGTGCTAGTTCTAACGCAATTTGTTTATCTACGAATTTTTTTGGCGTATTCACCACACACATCAATATCGACGCGACGGTGTAAGTCCGCAACCAGGTATCTCGTTTGCGGTGGTTGAAAATCTTCGCTCTTATTTTAATTTTTCTAAACGAGAACAAAGCGACATCATTCCTTTAGATTTTCACAGAATTTTCTTTTTTCAGGGAAGAAAAATCACGGTAGTTTTTAGCATTGCTATTGAGTAGTTTTCTTCTTAAAAAATGAAGTATGACAGGAAGTCTGCCACGCCACGTCGCAAACCGAGTTACGAAGTTGCGGACTTACACCGCCAATGTAGAAAAATATATCAATTTAATAGGAAAATCTCAGACTTTTAATCTTTCCGGAAGTATCAAAGAAAAATTTGGAATTAGGGGTAAGGCCAGATCTATTTATTTATTTTATTTTGTTTACAATTTGCACATGGAGGTCTTTTGGAACCCATCAAAAATTGGGGGCTAGCGGACAGCGAACAGCTATTTAGTCCCTGAAGAGACATCATTTAAACCCTCCAAAGTCTCATTCATTGGGTAGAAGGCTTTGGAAAGCAGAAACTTGTGGAGGTAGTTCAGAAACATGGATAATTTCCCCTCTCGAAAGAGACCTTTAATCTCCCAATAAGGGTGGGCATTATACATTAAGATGGACAAAACCCATAATCCCTCACCTGATACTCTACTGGCGAAATAGATTATATTTTGCGATTTTTCAGAAATGTTAAATTAACATCCTTTCACTCACAATCAGCCAAAGTAGATATTTTTCCTTAAAAAGCTTCCTGCTTAGCCACCAAATAAGTTCCTAAAATTATCTGGAAATGCTAACCTCCCCTCCTCTCCCCCGTCATAAAATATTCTACTCTCTTATCATATATGATGCTTATCTTGCCGTACTTAGCTTAATGAAAAAACGAAAATAGTATTGATGAAAAATCACAACAAAGAGCCAAAAACTTAAAGGTGAGGATAGCAGCTGACACAAAATGTGGTTGCTCTTAGATCATTATTCTTGCTGCGCATGTCTCTTCATTACTTGAAGTTAAGACTGGAAAAATCGAGTGAACATCGTTTGGCGAATGACCAAAAAATGAACGAGCTGGATTCCTCTCTTGAAGGAGTAGTGCACATTTACTTAGTACCGTGTGCTAAGTTATGCATTTAATTGATGTATGCGTATCTGAACGCAGCAATGTATGTATTGCCTCGTGCCCTCAATGCAACTGCAAACAAAAGTTACATTTGCCTAGTTCCACTCTGCCGTGCTAAAAGGAAGAACGCCGGATGAACATTTGAGAGTTGCCAAATTTCATCTGGTAAAATGTTTGTTTTTTGAGGAAAGTTATGAAAATTTTTCCCTGAAATTTTCAGGAACTTAAGGTGAAATTGCGAACAACATTACCTATCTGAAAAATTGGTCGAAAAATGTTCCTAAGTTTACCCGGAAATTCTTGTTTTATCAATCGGAATTTGGCAACGCCTTAAGGTTCATGTGGCGTTTTCTCTTTGCACGGCAGTATACAGATGTACGCTTAAAGTACTAGTATCAAAGATTCTGATTTAAGAGGCCACAAAAAATATCGGCTTGCAAAGTCGGGAAATGCGTACCTCCAGTCCAGTACAACGTTTCAAAATATCCGTTTTAATTTCATTTTTATAAAAGAAATCAACAAAATTAGGTTCTCCAATATTTTTGAAAACATTTAAAAAACGAGTCCAAAATATTTAACAAAATTCTAACAAAAACAATTGGTTGCTAATATCCTGGGAAATAATACACGAGTGGGGATTTTGGAAGTGTTTTTGAGTTCTTTTGTAGGTCACAGCTTTATTGATTTCAGAATAAGAAAATTGTCTTTTTTCTTATTATTATGGTTGTAACTAAGGTGCAGTAATTGAGGCACAACATAAGAATCTGCTTTCAACTATTTAATCCATCCCTTACAGACAAATACGTATTTATATTTTGTGTTAGAGCTTTGATAAAATGAACAAAAAAAACAACTTTCTCTGTCTGCTAGTATGAGTCATATACTTGTACTTACGAAATTGAATTAATAAAATGAATAGACTTAACAGAGTGCCGTCAGAATTTATAGATAAATACCAATGGAAAACATTTTTAGTACGGTCAAGGTGTTTGACTTCCATTGATTAAAGCACTGTTGAAATTTAGATCAAGGCTAATACAGAGGCAAATTTATTTCTTCGATCAAATTAAATCGAAAGTTTCTCGGGAAATTGAGGAAGGTTAAGAATAATGACTCTCAAATCTCATTCGTGAAGATCAAGGCTTTTTGAATGAATAAGCGCGATTTTGTTGTTGGCTTTTAATGGACCTACTACAGTACCATGATAAAATTATTGATTCACAGCATGGTGAGTTGTTTTTTTAAAGGACTTGAGAAAAAGAAGGACCATGATTTTATAACCACACAAAGTAATAACACATTCATTGAATGAGTATTTTTTTAAGTTCGTTTACTGCTATTAGAATCAGAAATTCGGAAAATTACCCTTCAGTCCTTTCTTACACCTTTATATTGCTATGAAGCAACCTACATTTTAAACCAATGTAAGTAAGGCAAAATAGGTAGCTACGGATTTTAAAAAAAAATCTGGGAAAAACATAATCATGGGACGAAAGCATCAGCATCCAATGAGCAATCGTGTGGTTCGATCTTTCAACCTCATTTTAATAAAAAGTAATACCACAGATAATGGCATGTTGGAGGAGGGGGGGCTGAGGTTCAGAAAAAATGGTCCAAAATCCCTGACTACTTATCCCTCCTTTCGGTCACCACCTTGCTACCTTACCGTACCTATTAGCGAAACTCTTATCCTCATCAAAACCACTACCACCCCCCCCCCCCCCCTAAGTCTCATGGATCTTTTCTGAAAAGCACATCACAATTTAGAGAAGAATTGTGGAATTGAATGGATCAAGATGCTGCCTTGTAAGCTAGACAGATATTTTTTAGTGTACCAATGTCTGAGCCTCTCTAATTAAAAATAAGGAGAAATTAACCATGTTCCCAAGTAGCATTTTTCAACGGAAAAATCGCGATTTTATCGGCGATAAAATCGCGATTATCCTCGATTTTATCGGCGATAAAATCGCTAGGATCATCAACATCTGAGCGATTATCCTCGATCTTTTCGCGATTTTACTGCAATTTTATCGGCCCGAAAAAATTGCGATTTTATCGCGATAAGATCGAGGATAATCACTCAGATTTTGATGATCCTAGCGATTTTATCACCGATAACATCGCCAAAAAAAGGGGTTAACGTTGTTAGCCGACTGCCGTTAGGTTCCGCCATCAGGTCCTTTGACGAAGTCGAGCGTTAAATCCCCGGTGCCCCCGCGGGGATTCGAACCCCAATCGCTACGGCGGAAGGCCAGCACTGTGCCACTAGGCTATGGCCTCTATATGAATAACGAGTGCGAATTGAAGCCTCTTATACATGGATCGGCGCTTCGCAGCCTTACAACTTATGTCTTTGCGTTGACTGACTCCGAGTTTTCATTGGATTTTTTTTTTTTTTTTTTTTATTTTCCCTCCTCTGTATTTCATTTCATACCTTGAAATACGGTTGGTAAAATAAGGTTCTATTGGTAATCTCATCATTTTGTCTCTGTAAATAATAGTGAGATGGCAAAGTTACCGATGGACCTTGGTAAAAACGCCAATATTTTTTATCGACTGTGGTAGAATTACCGAGATTAAATGGTGGAGTTACCGAGAATTGATTACCAATAAAAGTGTTATTCTTACCTGAAAAAATCAGTAAAAATACCGGGTTTTAGGTACGCTTACCAGTCTGTCTTTGTAACATTACCAATAGGTAATTGATAAAAAAAATGAGATGGTTAAGTTACCAACGGACCTTGGTAAAAACGGCGGCGGCGCGGCGGCATAGAAACATCTTTCATATCATATGCATCATTCATGCGTTAGTGGGCGTTGATGAAAAATTGCAATTAATTGCAATTTTATCTCTATAAAATCGCGTTCGATAAAATCGCGATTTTATTGCAATTTATTGCGATTTTTTATCCGATAATAATCCAATAAATCGCGACGTCGATAAAATCGCGATACATTCTCCGATTAAATCGCAATTTATCGCGATCACTGCTACTTGGGTTATTGGTTAACTAGAAGTTTCTCTGTAGGCTTTAAACAAAAAAATACGGTAAACTTTAAAGTATTTTTGTTTTGTATTTTATGGAGCTTTCAAATCTGTGATTATCGCGAACCATTCATTGTTTCTGCCACGGATCCCTCAGTTTCTGTAGTTCCTTTTTTTCCTTTCTTTCGAAAGTCATCGTCAGACAACAATGCAAGTGATCGATTACGTCTCTGCACACAGCTATATGCGTAAAGAAAAAATGCTCTTTGGCACAAAATTTAAATTCACAATTGCTGTTTTTAGTTACTTTATTAAGTTTTCATAGCCAAAACTTGTGAAAGGTCCCCAAGAGCAGGGTACCTAACAAGTTTTTGGATCTGGTCTAAATTTTACTAATAATAAGCACAAAGTATTTGATCCGAGCAATGTATTAAGAGTTACAGACCAAATATCTACTAAAATATTCAAATATACTTCGCCGGCACTCATCTATATTTGCTTCACTTGTGAATGCTTTTTGTCTTGAGATCTACACGGAAAATCCATAAGAGTGTCACATTTGCTAAACAGATTGCATAACACGCTATCTATTTCTTATCGCCGGATGATTATTAAACTGATTTTGAATGTTAAACTTTAACATTATAAGGAGTCACAATTACGGAGACTCTTGAATAAATTGAATTGAGAACTGACAAAACCAAAAAATAACAGTATGCGTTTTTTTTTCTTCAGAAAAATCTTTGAAGCCCAATACACAGCGTCCTTCTTATCAGCTGCAACAGCGATTTTAAAAACTCTTTTTGGGTCTCTATTCTAGATGTTGGAGCTTTCTTTCTCTCTTATGAGCTTTTACCTACTCCAGCATTTGTATCCCTAAAGCATCGACGGATGAAAAACGAGGTAAGTCTTTTACTTACGCGAAAGCCCTCAATTCAGGGGCAGTTCCATTATGAGTCGAAATAAAATGGCTAAGAGAAATCCATCCATGTTGAATTGAAAGCACTTAATCAAACCACTTCAATCATTACTTTAAAACTCACAAAGGCGCCTATATCTTATTTAATTTTCACTTTTTCTTTCGGGATCTCTAATCGAGAGGTAAATAACAAGAGACAGCCTCGGTAATAAATAATCTGTTGAGCCTTAGCGCACTCGAAACTTTCAGTTACACAGTAGAGGCACGCTCCAAAGGCAGTAGCATTTGTTTGATCGCGTTAAGATAATAAGTCGAAGCTCTAAAACGAAATAATTGTGTTGAGTGGGTAAAATTTGGGATAACTGATCACTAATTTCGTCTTCACGGTTCCACTCCAATCAGTTTCCTCAACGCTGACCGCAGACCGAACTGATAAAATCTCACTATATGGATCAAGAGCAAAGTTCCTCTTGTGCATTGATTAACACGTATCAGCAATTATCATGTTTGGTCTAAAGTCTTCCCTTTCCGTCGCTTTCAGCTTTATATCTCTGTTTCGATTTTACGCAGGTACGGGCGGGCGGGCGGTGGAATTTTCTACCTTGATTCAAGTAGAAAGTAACGTTGTTTAACTCTCGTGACGCGCTACTAATCGTGAGATAACAAAGCAAAGGCGAGCTCTTCAGTTCTTCATTTGAATGTAACAAAACAGGATGCATTTGTGCAAGAAGGAATGTATTCACTTAAGGAGCTATAGCACATAGGCTGATTTGTATAAGCGCACTCGATTATCTATTTTCATTACAATATTGTCAATTTTGGCAAAGCTCTCGAACTTGATATGCAAATACTCTGATGCTGCAGTTGATACCAGCGATTAATCCATACATTTATAATAGATCTTGTTTAACTACGAGTTTTCCTCATTGCTAGACCAGTACTGCCATGCTAAGGAAAAGCGCCGTATGAGCCTTCCGGCGTTGCCAAATTTCCATTAGCAAATCACGAATTTTTGGGAAAATTTGTAAGTATTTTTCTTCCAATTTTTTAGGTAATTTTGTTCACAATTTTTGCTAAAGTTTTTGTAAATTTCTCGGAAAAATATTCATAACTTTCCTAAAAAACAAAAATTTTATCGGAGGAAATGTGGCAACTGTCGAATGTTTATACGGCGTTCTTAGCACGGCAGAGTAGCCCCTGGTATGGTTGACTCGCTGATTGTGAGTATAAAATGATCTATCTGTATCAGATAATCTTCTAGAAAATTATATAAACTGCCTTTTAATAGTACTACGTAGCATTTGTTTATTTTAAACTTTCTCTGAACAAATTAAATTTAACGGATATTTCAGGTCACATGAAAAGTTTTATGAGGAAAAGACATTTGAATTGTCTTTTTCCGTAAGTGTAACCCTTGATCTTTTTACCGTTTTCAGAATCATAAAGTGAAATTTTATTGCTGCCTTAAGGGCTATAGAACCTGCACAGGTTATGTTATTTTGTGAATGATACTTTCGACTCTGAGAATATATTTAAAACTATAAATCTTGACCTACGGTTAATATTTTTCCGTTTTTTTTGAGGTTTCTGTCAAATTTTAATCAAATGATATAAATTAACAGCTAGGAGATGATAAAACTGCGCTGAAATTTAGACAGAGCTTTAGGTTTGCGTTTTGGGTACAAAAGTTTTTTGTGGGATTTATTTCCAGAAAGGATGATGTAACTTAGAATTTTTTCAATGTTACGATTGATTATACTAAATTTTTCCCCCAAAAATTTGTTTGGTTCCTTTCAGCTAAAATTACTCCTAATATAGCCATCTCATGTTTAGTTTTATTGACATGGTGAGCTAAAGCTCGCTGGGAATACAAATAAATCGTATTTTTTTTGGAGGGCAAGCATCCAAAAACTCTTTAACCCCAGCTCAGGGGCATAGCCAGCAAGTTGGCAACGTTGCATTTCCTACATTCAAGGAATTAAATGTAGGAAAAAATCGATTCTTGTCGGAGCACCTGCCCCTCGAGAATCAACAGATTTCTTCAGGTTTAAATGGAGAGCAACCAATATTGCCAACTTGCAGGATCCCCTAATGCACGGTCTCTGCCAGATTGTATGTGCCTCAAATTGTGTGCCATGTGCCATGTATTCACACTATTGAATGAACTCATTATATGCAATGTCAATTCTAATGTCATGCTGATAATTGGTGACTGTTATCGAGCTGTGGTTTCCAGGAAGCGATACAATTTAAACCTGTAAACATTAGTGTGATTAAAAACAAAGAAAAAATTGCGAGATTGAGTAATTATTCATATTACAACGACTCTATTGATCAAACAATCAAAATCGGAGTCCGACCCTCACGTATTTACTGATAAAAAATGCCTCGTATTGTCTGAGATGGCATATTGGAGAAGCCCTCTGCAATTAGAGAATTGTATATCCTCCTTTATGAAAATGTCTCGTCACCACAGTTTAAAATTCATCCCAGAGGTAACTTGTTTTTTTGACAGATATATCAACGGTGAAAGGCTTAAAACATATGTTTGTTTGGCGATGTTGTAGATTATATATCAAATTGCAAGCATTATTTTTCCAAGGAAAAATGTCGAGCATTTATTTCTTGGAGTTTTCAATAAATTTGATTGAGTGTTAAATATTTGGTAGCTAGACTTTTAACCCAATTTTTTTTACCCGATACCCAGTTTGGCCAACAAATTTAATCCAAGTCATACTTCGGCTGTGTTGCTCACGTAGCCTTTTAAGCACCGCTACAAATCAGACAAACGGAATCGACACAACACAGAAATAGAGTAAGAAAGGACTCGCCTTGATGACGGCGCAGAGATACAACTATTCGTGCTTGGTGGATGTGCGTGTTGTATCTGCAAAATTGAAGGCGCGAGGCGTGAACTTGCAGCGCTCCGCTCTATGCCGTAAATGAGGTATCACTCGATTCGGGAGAAAAGGTAAAAAACAAAGCTCGATTACCACTCTCCTATCTTTGACTGTTTCGCTAACGTAACACTTGAAGAACCACTACAAATAAGGCAAACGGATCGATATAATATGGAAATGGAGCAAGGGAAAGGACACGCGCTGATGACGGCGCAGGGATACAGCTATTCGTGCTTGATGGATGTCCGTGTTGCATCTGCAAAATTGAAGGCGCTGTGGCGCGATGCAGGAGCTCGCAATGCTCCGCTCTATGCTGCCAATGAACTGTCGCTCTAATTCGGGAGAAAAGTTATAAAAGCAGTCCAAACACGTCTCTCCTATATCTTCAGAAAAGTTAATATTTGCTTTTCTATTTTTTTTATTTGATGCCGTAATATTTTTTTCAGATGTAGTTCTCTAAAGTTCTAAATCCTACCTACATCTAAAGTTCGATTGTGCTAGGCCATAGAACCCACGGGGTACGAGTTTTCAGCGATCCTTGAATCAGTTGGACCCGGTTTGGGCATTTAAGAGTTACATTCCATTATTTGGCGAAATCTCAGCGCCTATACGATTGCTTGTAACTGAATTCAGTAAACTATTGGTTCATAAAGCATTGTCCGGAAAAAACTATTGGACAAACTCTAAGAATGGACGGTAAAAAATTTGGATCAAACAAAATTGGGTAAAAAGTCTGGCCACCAAATATTTACTTGTTTAAAAACTCTCTTTGTATAATTATTGCTATGATATACCTGATTACTGCCGCGCTAGGAAATAACGGCTTATGAAAATTCGAATGTCGATAAATTTCTCTCAGTAAAATAATTATTTTGAAGGAATGCTAAAAATATTCTCCCTTGAAAATTTTAAATACCTCAGATTTAACTGCAAATCAAATTCTCTCAAAAAATGGAAGAAAAATACCTGCGAGTTTTTAGGAATCTCGTATTTTTTCGAAATTTGACAAGGCTGAAATGATCATACTGCGTCCCCTTTCAGGACGGTAGAGTAGAGCTACTTTCTTCAAAAAAGATGCTCCGACAAAGATCCTTTTAAAACAGATGAGTTACTTCGTCTTAAAAATTATGCAGAGAGCCAAAAATGGCAAAATTATCATGAATTACCGCTCCATAAGTAAAAAAAAATCACGAGATCCTTGGTCATCAAATAAATATTTTACAAAGCACAAAAACATAATATGTCTCATTTGTTCTCGATGGCTACCTAGTCACCTCTTATTTTAGGAATTTGTTAATATGATGGCAACCATGTCAAATTGATGGGCCCTTTTAATCATGCATGCATCAAAGCGACATTCTGAGAATGCATTATAGTAAATGAATTAATATATTGTAAATATAAATTTGACTTTATTTTTATTCTAATTTCTGGTATAAGATTTCAATTGCTTCGTTCCAAAAGAATTGGAAACCAAATCGCAAAACTTGTGATCTTATTTAGGGTGCGGGTGGATATTCTCGCGAAACTGTTATCACAGTGGCTTTTCTATCGAAGACTGACGGCTGGCAATGAAAATAAACCGCATGACCTATAAACACACTTAATGGATATAATTAGTAACGGCGATTAAAAAGGAGATGCATTTGCACATCTCTCGAAGAAACTTAAAAGATTTACTCGGAAGGTAAGCTAATCTAAGATTACTATTATTTAATATCTGTTTACTTACACAGGATCGATTTCTCTACCTTAAAGTTTCAGATCAAATTATTCGGGCAAGGAAACTAATTTGTTTTAAAAATTTAGGAATTCTCCATAAAAGTAATGTGGTGCACATAGTATAACAGATAATACGGCTTTCAAAGATGATGGGAAAAAGAGTGCGTTACAAAAGATTTGGCTTCAAATCAAAGTGGCGTGGCATGCTATGCGATATATCGATTGATTTGTTATTTAATCCCATGGAAAAGGGCAGGGAGTTTGCAACGAACTCCTTCACAATCGATTCTTCACCATAACTTCAAATGGGAAAATATCGAAAATCGATCGTTCACGCCTCGCCACCGGTTTTTGATTATATTTATTTCTACGTCTTCTTAATGTATATCCTGCACTCCCTCCCATCTTCCTCTCATTTTTTTCTGTCATCTCAAGTCGTAGGAAGTTCATATGTTGGAAGCATGAAAAATTCAAAAATAATTTTATTGCAGTCTACTAAAAATGTAATCATATTGCACACTATAATAACTAACACGTGGCTCCTCTGCTGAAATCAACTCTGTCCGACCTCACAGGCATACCGATAAAACGCGTACCGTGTTTATTTGCGAGGGTACAAAATTATTATCTGTGGAGCTAACTCGACATAAAATTGACTTCCAATTAGACGCGAAGATTATACCGCCGTGCCCCTAGGCTAATGACCCGTTAAGGTACACAGTCGGCAAAAGCTAGCAGAGGAAAAAGAAAGTCTGACGCCTAGGGTAGACGTATTGCGTAAGAATTTTGTTTTAATTACCCCACACGCTTAGATAAAGGAACTAAAAAAATGAATTCGAACGACATTAAATCAGAGGTAGGCAGTTTGGGCGCTGAATTGCTTTTTTTTCTGTGCTCCAAGATATCCATCGTCTTAATTCCAAAATATGCTCGAAGGTAATCATACCCCATCATTGCTTTTTCCGCTTTCAGTTTGAGGGATCGCACTGATAATATTTTCTATGTGGCTGCTGAGAATACGATTACCCATTAAAATAATAGGAATGAAGTCGCTTTTATGTTTGTCATGTTTAATAATTAAATAAATAAATATCGTACAAAATTTAATACAAAAATCATTATTAATTTCTCATCTCTAACTGAAGGGGTTTTCCGGATATTGACTTGATCAATGAGTAGATAATCAAAACTGCTCATAGGATATATTGTTGTGTAAACCGCAAAATGAAGGCGCGGTCCAGAAAATAACATGCGCGTCATTTCAGCCCTCATCTGCGCGATACTTGGTCAGCCTCAAATCAATGTTTCATGGTATGCGCTTACAGAAAAAGGCTCACCGTTCAAACGCAAACTCATTACTTTGAATAAAAAACCCCTAAGTCAGCTTATTGTTAGTGAGAATTCTTTTTAAAACGCATGTCTCTTTTCGGTCACAATTACGACGGAATGAAATAGTCTCACATCACTTTAAAAATATAATTATCTTGTAGTATGTTATTTTCAGAGATTTGCAAGATGGTCACTGAAAATGTAAGGTCGAGTCAACGGTTATTAAAGATGGATACGAAATAAGTCTCCAAAACGAATCATATTTCAAATAATTTATTGCTTTACAAATTCTTGATGGGATCTTACAGTTTTATCGCATAGAGTGGTGAAAGCTTCTTTTGCCTCACTCTATAAAAAGATCATTACAATTAAATGGAGTAAATTAAAGTAATTTGAAAAAGCCGCTTAACAATATTTCAAAATAGTATGCACAAACCATGTTCTTCGTCTTAATCAATGAGCACAAGTCATTGTGAACCAAACCCGTGCCATCACGTCCTCACAATATTAAGGTGCTTTTGAAAAACAATGAAAAAAGTATAACTAATGCAAATCAGTCTTTAAAGAGACATATAAAATCTTGGACACATGGTCTGATGAGTCAACCTTACCCCGGAAAATTTCCTTCGATCTAAACTTTTATTTACACGTGCACCAAGGATTACTCGAGCTGAGAGAGATTTTGTCTCGTGCACGCTACGGCAAAGCATAATATTAAAGTGATGAACTCTCTTACAATATCGTCAGGTTTTAAAATGATAAAGTAAACAATGAAGGTGGTAACATTGAAGAAAATTGCTCAAATAATGAGTTGTTAACAGCAATATTTATTTATGTTAAATATCAAAATTATTAACTCATAATTGATAGGATGAATTGTGGATAGGAATTTTTGAAATTTGTTAATGAACTTACGATTGCAAAGGCGTGAGTTCTTTCTTATTATTTCGAATGATAGAGATGTAGCATCGATCGTGCAAATAAAAAAAATGTAAATTAAAGTAACTCTCTGTTCAAAAATTATGCATTTAAAACTGTATTTTAATCCTATCTCTTGCACCGGATGAAGGACTTATACTGACTTTTATCCTATAATTTTTTTCATTCAATTTCTTGTTTTAACACTTTTGACCCACCAAAACAAGTTTTTGGGAATTTAAAATTGGTGTCTTTTATTGAGCTTAAATAAGATTATGTGCATCGTTGCACAGAATTTAGAGAAAGCCAATTAAATTAAAAAATGAAAATGTTAAATTTTGAGAGGATCGATGAGGTTTTTCTTACAGCGAAAAAGAGAATTACGTTTTTTCCCTTTTTTTATAACCTCTTGGTTTTCCAATAGTAACTGAAGAAAATACTAATATCGCAAAATGAACAAAAAATAAATACTTACATTCATCAAATGAAAAGGAACATGCATTTCACGGGATTTGGGTTAAATGGCAGTGAACTTTGATTCCTGTTTTTATCAAATACTCAAATTGTTAATTCGAGATATAAGAGTTTCATTACGCTTGGTATAGTTACAAATTACAATATGCTTTTTTTAGGTGACGTTCAAACCCATTTTCTATGTTCAGTGTAACCTAAGTATGACGAGCATCTTGCGTAACATGTTTCTTAACAGCAAACATGACAAAAAGTCGTTTGTGACACACTTATGATTTTGCTAATAGGTCACTTTAAAAGTTCCTGTATTGAAGATTGCCCAATTTACACTAGTGAATCACATTCTAAAAAACATTTTGAGCCCCTCAATCATTTTACAATCACCATGATACCAAGATATTTTGTGGGAAGGACACAATCCGAGAATTTGATTTTACTCACGTTGAACTTTCAATATTCATAAACCGTTTTTATGTCTTTAGTATACGAATTTCATTGAGTAAAGGATCTGCGAGTATTTAGTCCGATAAGATTCACACGACATTCAAAATTCCAAAGCAGTGACTTGAGTTGATACGACCTGAAGTGGATTTCATATTTGGCGCCGTGCATTGCGCGCACGATTGATACCTAAGTTGTGGATTTGCTGATCCAAGGATAACAAAAAAGGTGGAAATAACTGTAGTTCTTTAATTATGAAATTGGAGTCGTTCTCTCTTGTTGAGTTGGTCGGGTCCATTTCACCGGAGAATCTAATAAAAAAGGGGTCAGGAGCCCCCTATTTGCCATGCAAACGGCAAAAATAAAGCCAGATAGTTATTTGTTGGTAAAAAAAAACAAAACAAAAACATGGGATCATCCCTTGTGATGGATATGGCTAGATCTGCCTCAGGTTGCACGCATCGATAAGCTGATGGGTCAAATATTTTTGAATAATCGAAATTACGATCTCTAGAAAATCATCAAGGAGTCTCCAAATCATCCGTCTCTTTTTGTAAATGGAGTCAAAGATTTTTCCCCCGATTTGCCACAGGATTTGATTTGAAAAATTGACTATGTTAATTCGAGGACACTAACTAGAATGAGCCCAATTGCATTACACTTTGTCTCTTTTCCACTTTGCTTCATAGTTTACAAGAAAACCAAGCATAATTTCACCTTCAAATTCTAATGTAGTAGAAGCCAAAAAAAAAAAAAAAAAAAAAAAAAAAAAAAAAAAAAAACTCACAAAACATTTCACTTCGTTATGCTGTTCAGTCTCCTGATAAAAAATTAAGACAATTCAAGAACTTTCAAGGGAATTTGCCAACGTGAAATGCAACAAGGCTGCCTCTGATTGAGGGCCGTGTTCTGTAGTCGTGCCTTAAACTTTAAGGACTTTTAGAACTTTGCCTTTCGACCAGTGTGATTAGGACCGCTTTTAGCAGAGTTGAACCAAGCCACATCAGTTATTGTCAAATTTAACAGGGCAATTTCATTTTTTACATGAAACCGGTTGAGCAGTTTTGGTACACAATTTTAGGGAATTCGCTTTCATACTTTGCAGAAATCTCACTGAAATTTGCACAAAAATCCGAACAACCGTCCTCATGTAAAAAATTAAATCGCCCAATTAAAGTTGGCAATAGCTGATGAAGCTTGGTTTCCCTCTGCTCATCACGGTTCATTAAAGATGCCTTACAGTTTAAGGAACAATTATGAATGCGACCCTGATTCCGTCCAACTGAAGTTCGACTGGATGGTGTCTTTTGTAAACATTTCTCGACGATTTTTTCGAGACCAATAGTTATCGATTATCTATCGATGTGACGGGAAACGATGGGTTAACCTCTGAGGATCCACCTGACTTTTGCCGATCTCAGCGCAGTCTATCTCGGAAGGAAAAGGGAACGGCAAGGCGTAGTTTGAGACCAATTATTTAGGAGGCGATGCACCACTACCACTCGTGTTGGCGTTACTCGGCGTTAGCGGCACTGATGATGGCAATGGACCATCTTTGAGCCAGACGGCCAACGGGATCTGCAAGAACGCACTGTTCAAGAAATTCTTGAAGTGTTTCCCGATGGCCTGCGAGGCGGCAGGCTTCATCTCTTCGATGATCTCCTTTGCGTTTTGATTTAGGAATAGATTCATCGCCTCCCCTGAAACACATTAAGGTAATCGGCGTGTTATTCAATTGACTTCAATTTCACAAGAAATAATTTTCAGCGCAGAACATCACAGAGACGAGGTGATTTCTTCCCTTTAATCGCTTGGCTTCGGTGTCAGGTGAGAACTCTTGCTTTCAGAGACACATTACAGCTCCTCGTGGACAATGGAGATGTTGCATGTGTGAGGAATTTGCGATTTGACCGTTGATTCTTATGTAAAAGTTCGTGAGAAACACGATGGTGCACTGGTTTTCTCTGAAATCAACTCCCAAGCTCAAAAAAAGCTCTCAAGTTCAGGCCAAAATGGAGGGGATATCCCACCCTACCCTGAGAGTCCACGTCTACATCAAGACAAACTCTCCATGCAAAGATAGGGAGCAAATACATTGACAGGGCTGCCACTTTATTTGGGGACTCCAAAACTGAAAACACGGCACCACTGCTAATGTATTTGCTCCCTATCTTTGCATGGAGAGTTTGTCTTGAGTAGACGTGGACTCTCAGGGTAGGGTGGGATATCCCCTCCATTTTGGCCTCAAATTGAGAGCTTTTTTTGAGCTTGGGAGTTGATTTCAGAGAAAATCAGTGGCACCATCGTGTTTCTCGCGAACTTTTACAGAAGAATTAACAGTCAAATCGCAAATTCCTCACACATGCAATATCTCAAATGGATCGCGTTAAGTAGGAAGGAACCAAGCCACATGAAATATTGCCCAATTTAATCGAGCAATTTAATTTTTCACATGGAAACGAGCGTTCAAATTTTTATGTAATTTAAAAATTTCGTTTTTTAAAAAATAGGTAAATTTACTGCATAGTACAAAGTAAATTCCTCAACATTTTTAAGGAAATCCGCACAAACGTTTTCTTGTAAAAAATTGAATTGTCCAGTTAAATTTGGCGAACGCTGATATGACCTAGTTCCTCTGTACGAAACACAGTCCAATTACAAGTCAGCAACACTGCCGTTCTAGGGAAGAACGCCGTATACGGCTTCCACGTTGTCAAATTTCTTTGGATATAATATGACTTTCGGAGAAACCTGTGGATATTTTCCTTCGAATTTTTCAGAGCTTTTTATTCGCGACCAGACTTAATTATCTGAAAATTTTAAGAAAAAATATTCATTGCTTTCCCCAAAAATAAATACATATATTATATCGGCGGAAATTTATGAACCATTTTTTTTTATTTGGTCCAATCGTGAAGCTATCGCTTTTTTTATTACGGTGTGTTAATTGTACATGTTATTTGTTATTTCACAAAGAAAGGTGGATATAACTCATCAAATTCAGTAACATTGAAATTCAAGATATTGTATAGGCTAGGCTGGATATCTCTCGAAACGATACATCTTTGATGGATTTTCAAAGCGCCAACGAACGGGATATATTGAAAAAGAAACAATCTATCCGCCAAGCAAAAGACAACGAACAAAATAAATATGTTAATAGTGAAGACGACCAGTTTCGCATGTTTTTTTAGCAATAAAATGTGTTGTGCTATATTTTGCATGACGCTCAACTATCAATAAGTCACTGACTTGCGATAAGCAACCGATGCAGTGACCCTGATTTTGATCGCACATCGTGAAATTTTGGACTCGCGCAGTGCGGAAGAGCTTTCAGAAAACCCACTTTTTTAAAGGTCCTCTAGCCCAAGAGATTTATGGCAATAAGTTAAAAAGCTGAAAGTAGTAGATTTACGATGTTATTTTTTATCGAGTTTCTCTATCCGTCTCATACTTCAGGAGATAAAAAGAAGGTAAATATTTACTTTCGGAACGAACTTCGTAAAATACACATATTAATTTAAGACAGTTTTTTTACAAAACTCAGCAGTCCTACAAGCTAATAAAATGTATTACCTATCACATTATTCCCGTTCAGGAAGTCTTTGATTCTAAAATTTGACTTTGAAAGTTTGAAATTGACGCCAAGTCGATCCGTTTTCATGAACGTGACGTTTTCCTTGTAAACCTCCTGTCCATAAAGTTTTGCCAGAGCCGTTACATTGCCTGAAACAAAACAAAAAATCGATGTTATTCTACATTATATCAAGCAAAATATTCGGACAGCTCAGGTTGTATCTCCCTTATCACACAGATAAGTTTTTATTCGGAAACTGAATATTCTTTAATTGTAATGGCGAAAAAGTTTTGATATGAGAGTATAAGGGAAAAATATCAGGTGTACTGCCATGCTAAGGAAGAAAGTCATAAGAACATTCGAGAGTTACCAAATTTCCTCCCATAAAATGTTTATTTTTAAGGAACGCTCTGAATATTTTTCCTTCATATTTACAGGAACTTTGGGAGAAAACGTGAACAAAATTTTCTGAAAAATTGGAAGAAAAATATTAATAAGTTTACCGAAAAATGTGTGTTTTATCGAAGGAAATTTGGCAACGTCTGAAGGCTCATACGGCGTTCTTCCTTAGCACGGCAGTGTAGTAATAGAAGTTACAGCTCTCTCAGCTGAAGCGGTCGGTTTGCTCGACTGAAGGAAGCGTTTTCTAAACTGAATAAGCGCCTACTGAACTGTTGGGTTCGTACAATGGAAGTTTACCCGTGCAGAGTAGAATAAAAAAAAAAGAAAAAAAAAAGAAAAAAAATACACGGTCATCCGAACCAATAATTTTAGTGGTCTCTTTACAGTGCAGAAAACTAAGCCTTCAGTGACGTGATCGGACTTTTACATGTGCAACGCGCCAATCAATGCAAAAGCAGAATCTCTCTATGTTGGAGTTTGTTTAGCTAACGTGCGTTAAATATTCAGCATAAAGCTGAAAAACTCAAGATAGAGGCTCATATAAGCTCAATTGTGCTCATATGAGCTTTTTCCATCTGTATCGAGATTTTCAGCTTCATGCTGAATTTTCAACGCACGTTGGCTAAAAAAAGAACTCCAACATATTCTGCCGTGCTAAGGAAGAACGCCGTATGAACAGTCGAGAGTTGACAAATTTCACTGGATGAAACATGTATTTTTGACAACATTAATGCATATTTGTCCTTGAAATTTTCAGATATGTTATATTAAATTGCGTACAAAATTATCTGAAAAGTTCGGAAAATAATATTCACAATTTTCCCAGTAAATTCGGTTTTCGTCGGAAGACTTGGCAACGTTTCAAGGCTCATACGGCGTTCTTCCTTAGCACGGGGTTATTGTCTTAGGACCCGTGCGTCCACCGCAATCGGTTTGTGGAGAATCTCTCTCTTTAATGACAAAAATATTTTACGTCGAAAGACGAGCTGCAATATAGGAAAAGAAATTGATTTTACTCACTGAAAGCGGCCCAGAATTCTCCACGACTCCTCACTGGAAACAGCAAAACGTTCCCGTTCACGTCATAATTGCCTGTGACTTCTATGTAAGGGATGAAGAGACCAAAATCGATGCGCCATTTCGTCAAGTCGCTCCTGAAATTCGAGAAACAAATGACCAAGCAGTGATGTTCAATCCATAGACATAACTTCCACTCTCATAAAATTCTCGCTAGGTCTTACCTGCGAAATGAAAACGTTTCCCATTTTTTTCAAATTTGAAAGAACGGAACTATTTTTTCCGTATAATTTTTATATTGACTCCTACTTTTGCTGGAAAAACACAAAATAATGGATAAACTATGGGCTAAAAACAGAGACATAAAAAAAAATAAACCTGTTTTTGCCTCGTTCACCCGTTGTTTTGTGTTTTGCTAGTTAAATTATTCGGGTTATCTTTGTGTATTATCTTCATCTCCTACTTTCGTTTTTGCATATTTATAAATCTATTTTTTCTTAATATTTATACCACTGCACTCTCTCCAAACCACAACCTAAGAGTGGTTTAGATGTATAAGGCAAAGAATCGTATTCTGATGGTCTGAGCTTATAGATTAGTAAAACATGGCATGATCTGCCCAGACATTAGTTCTCTACATCCAGGACTGATTGAACATCGCTATTCGAAACAGACAATAGAAAAAGTCCGGACGAAAGTCTGAAAATTACTCTGAAGTGGTTGATTTTTTATAGACCCCACACGATAACTGACGAATGTCACCCACTGACCAATTTTTTAGAACACCCTGCGATATTTTTAAACGGAAAACGTATCGAAACAATTTACGGGTTACGCAAAGAAATTTAGCAATTACTTTTTTTAAAATGTATCTCAGTACTTTTAATCATGAGTTTGCACTTTTTTTTTCTTCTAATTTTGCTATTATGACAAACTTTCAGTTTCTTGGATGTGCGTGTTGCATGTGCAAAGGCTCAAGTTGCTCCCGCTTTACAAAGACTAAACTGATTGTGAGTTGAGGGCGGCGCTCTGATTCAACGATTCGTGCCGCGCGTGTCGCATATTCCACAATTGCAGGCGCTTCCCTTCTTGTTTACAACTTCTGCACAGGAATACGGGACTTGTAAGTTGTTACACCTGAATAACAGGGGCAAATACTGCCTGTCAGTGACACAGGGCCAGAGTATATCTAAGGCGGATACTCCGGTCAGTATCTCCGCTCACGAATACTTCACTGCACTAAGTCGTTTGTTGTACAAACACACGACTTTTATACATTGAATTCATATTTGCAGGTCCATGAACTAAGTCAAATGTTTCATATTCCTTTTTTTAAGTATATGCAAAGTGTTGCTGCAACGGACAGACGTGTACCTGTAATATGCCTGATGGACTTAGACTATTCTCAGAGGTTGAAGAAGCTTTTGAACTCACTTGACGGAGAGCACCGTGTAGTTACTTGCCCCCAATATGGTCATGTTGTTGAAGAAAGCTCTGACCCTCACTGGCCCGTGCCCATTTTCCATGGCCATGCGTTGAATGATCATGGGTTCGATTGATGGGACCTTGATTTCTTGGATCCCTGCACATAAAATGAATATTATCTAACAAATGGAAACAAATGCTTTGTATTGTACATGATGCGACATTATGGGGATCACAGTGTGAGCTTTCCATAGTGGCGAGGCGTAAGTAATCGATTATCGATATTTCCCGATTTGAAGCTATGGTAAAGAATCGATTATTAAGGTTTCCGTTGCGAACACTCTGTTTATCGATCCTTTTCCATAGGTTAAATGGCAGATAAATCGATATATGGCAAAGCACGCCACGCTACTGGGCTATTTCGTGCTTGGAAATTTATTTGCAGAAATTAACTTTCTTGGATGAGTTGGTAGAAATGTTCTCACACATGCACAGACACCCTGTATAGACTCATCATTGAAGATCTTAGAGTCTTCGAGACTTAATTGCAATGTAACGTTTGAGAACTTCACAAAAGTACTTTTTTCTAGAAGTTATTAACGAATGTATGGATTGCATTTTGCAAAAAGGAACCACTAGCATTGCAATGATGCTAAGATTGTGCAACTTCATCTTTTGCAATAAAATTGCGGAGATCGTGAAAAACTATGAAATTTAGAAGGTTATTTTTGTCTTATATTTATAGTTTCTAGCGAGTAAAATAGAAACTATTAATGGATAATCGGATTTTTCCTCCAAGACAAAAGAAGTTGCACAATCTTAGCAACATTGCAGTGCTATTGATTCCTTTTTGCAAAATGCAATCCATATGTTTTACGTCGAAATACTAAAAAAAATGAACGTCAAGAAAATTCACAGAAAAAAACCAAAAGAAAATTACCAATCGCTCTATTATCAAATGAAACTTCCCATTTGTTACGATAGAGCAGGTAAATCTCATTCAGCTTTCACAACTTCATTTGAAAGTTGTTTCTGATAAAAGATAGTAGTGATCTCAGGAAAGTTTCATTGTAAGTTGGAAAATACCCAGAGGCATGTGACAAAATAAGTCAGTTGCCAATAAGAGCTACAGCCAAATGAGTGCTAACTCTGTCGATGAAATCTCACAAAAACCTCGTTGCGCACACTAAAAATGTTTAAATCCTTAATGCACAGATTGCATGATCCCTTTTTTAATGTACCACGTTACCGGGCAGTTTTCTTAGCAGCCGGCAATCAATTTTTCCCAGCGTGAAACGGATAGCGCCTACAAGAGTGCATGAATACTTCACGCATTGCGCCAAACACAGTGCGGTCAGCGTGAAACACATAGCGCCTACAAGACTGCATGAATACTTCACGCATTGCGCCAAACACGGTGAGGTCGGCGCGTCGCGGCGGCGGAAGTTAAAATCATTAAACCAAATTTTGTGTTTATTCTTTCATAATTTTTTCGTTCATTTCTTATGAACGGAAGGCCTTGTCTATTAGAGATAGGTTTACGAAACTTGACTTTTGCGCAAAGTTCCGTGACCTTTTGCTGGTAGTGTTGACAGGGCTTTCCCAAAAAATGTGTTCAACACGAGTAAACGCGTCTTATGCACCCCTCCACCGCTGGCTCGTTTACTTGATGGTTTTTTTATTGATGTTTCAAAACGAATGAGAAAGGGGCGGCAAAATACAGGCGGCCCATGGCCGACAAGTAGAAAAATCTGGCCCTGATCGAGACTGCCATTAAAATACTGAACAAATGTCATTTCAAGCTCTGTTTACTACCCAAAAGGACAACATTGAACAATTTAAAGAAACCACTCATGAGACAAATTTTCAAGAGTGGATTTGGTCAAAGTTTTGAACTTACTGCCAACTTCCGTTACAACAAAACGAAATTTCTTCCGGGCGCCGCCGCGCCGGTGTGCTCACAACATCTAGGTTTTCGTTGGCCAAACTTCATAGTGCAGCTGAGTTTAGTTTTTCACTGTATCGAAGCGTTTTTCTCTTTCAGCGTGAAACCCTGCCGATCTAGCTGAAAAAAAATCGACCAAACCCACTCATGAAAATTCGCCTATTTTTTTCAATTTTTGCCCAAAACATCGGTAACCGTCGTGTCATTTTTGGAAATGCCACGTTTTCGTGGTGGAGAAGCCCCGCTGAATAACCGAATAAACGGGTAACTGCGAAGTACAGATAGTAATCGATGCTTTACTGTGCTGATTGTGAGACGAAAAAAATGCATCAGTTATTCCGAAAAATCTCTAACGTTTCTGAGAGGACCAAAAACGCTTCGCGAGCCGATTTTTGAAACTATTTCAGCACTACAAGACAAAATATAGCCCTATACTTACGATACAATATATCGCATTTCGATGTCTCGTTGGGCTGCTTAAAAAATTCAATAATCGGCCTGTGATAGAGAGACTGGACCCTCCCTCCACCTATAGTTCAAACCATGCACCTAAATTAGAACAAGAGTCAATTTTTCGGGTATTTCAATTTTTTCTCGGAAGAAATGAAAGAGTTTCAATCAGTAGTAGCGCAGAAGAACTTATAGCAGTGGTTAATATATTTCTGCTAAAGTGACGGAGCACAATTTATGAATAGAAGTCGTTAATCTATCCGGTGACGTAGTTCAGTCAGATTAAACCATTCAAGAAAAATATCAGTTGAACGAGATGTTGTTCAGTTGCAGGGGTGTTACGTTTTGAACCTCGAAATTTTGAATGAGCTTTCGAGGCAAACTTTAACCTATTCGGTGACGAAGAGAAAGATAACATGAATTCGGAGTAAGACATAGGAAGGCGCATATCAAAGACTCATTCATTATACCAAATAAGAGCTACGATAGGTTCAATAAAATGTGGGTCATTGAAGCTAAATCATCCTATTATGTAAGGTATTTCCTGAGTGGAGGTGGCAAATAAACAAACGATAGCCCTTCACGCCAAAATAGGTAATCTTTTGTGGCATGGCCAAATTCAGGTGGCTTCAAATTTAGCTGACAGTAACGTCCCAAAGTTCATTTTTACTGGTCACATACTCATCACATTTTTTATAAGATTCCTTTTAGTGGATTAAAATAATTAACCGGGGAGCGCATAACCCTGTCTTGGCGTGTACAAAAAGTGAAATTTGTTTGATTTTTTCTCAAATTATTTTTGTTCATTTTCATTTTTATACGATCAATGTTAACCGTCTGGTTATGTATGTTTAGATAGGAGAAGACAATTTTCGGGTATTAACAAGTTCATTCTAGTTAACTAAAAAAGAGCAGTAAAAGTTTTTAACGAAACCTTAAATAAAATTTTGCCATGAGAACTGAAATTTATTTTTGAAAGACTCCCTGCTTCGACGGAACCAGCTCATAAGAAACATTGAGGTGGATGTGCTGTACCCCCAATGTATTCGCTTCAAAAAGCTTTCTCCATGGACAGTTGCGAATGATAAATGTATCTATATCCTGGGCTGATATTGGTATTAATTTCGTTTTTTAGATGTAGGGCTCACAATACAATACAGACACTGCAAACGCTACTGTATACCACTGGAGCAGTTCCTTTCCTTCTGGCCTTTTTAATTTTTTTTAAAAAGAAATAATCGTCGTATTTAAACATACAAGTCTTGCATATTTATACAATCTCATAGGTCAACAATTCTAATCGTGAAGAAAAATCGACCACCTTTACTGGGCTTGATATAAGCCCAAGATTACGTTTCCAATTATTACATTTTCGAAGTTTAATAGATAATTTTCGCGGAAATTTTGCAGCAATGCTTTTTTTGCTGAACTTTGAAGCTTTGCTTTTAGTGAGAAAAGAAATGTGTATTGAAACGTGAGAGTAGTGCCGTGCAGAATGATATTTTTTCCCACATTTTTTTCTTTAATGTATCGGTTTAATTTACAAATCTATCTTAAAAACCATTGAAGTGATAAGAGATAAAAATTACCTGAGATCAAGTAGGGTCGCAAATGGTTGAAAGTCTCTTTAATACATGAGTTGATATTAGGATCTGCTTTGTGACAAGGATGAACATATTCAGCTGAAACAAAAAAAAAATAAGATAATTAATTTTATCTGATGATAAAAATTTTCATTTGGTCGAAATATTCGTTATCTGAAAAGAAATTTTCACATTGACAGCGGTGTTAAACTTTTGCAGTATATATGATTACGGCACAGATCAAAGAAATTACCGACGTAATTTGACTTCTGGTTTCTTTGATGTTTTAATTTCCTCTTTTTTCCACTGTCTGTTTTAATGCATGATATCTGACTAGACTGCAAATTACTGGCGCCAAGGCCTATTTTCACACAAAACACAAGGTCACTCTGTCACCACAGGAGGCAGATTTTCAATAGTCATTTACCGTGAAAGTTAACTTCAGAAAGATTACATTCAATTCGGAAAAAAGAAGAAGTAAATAACTTGAGAGCATATACGGCCTCGGGGTGTTATTCTTTCAAAGATCCCTGGCCTACGTCTAGTATCAGAATTGATCGCAACTATGTAGCTGCGTTCATAAAATAAACTTAAAGACCTTTAATTAAACATTTTATCAGACGCCTCTCTGGCAACCGAAACAAGACATTCATCATTCCTGCTTAAGCAAAACTGATAAAGAACAGGCACCTCCTCATGTGCTTAATAGACAGAGGAAGTGGTTGAATTCCGACTTTCAAGTCGAAAATGGCACGCCATCATATTCTCTGAATTTATGTTTAAAAGCCGCAGATTATCAACTCTTAGAACTTCTTTCAGTTATTTACTTTTCATGGAAAATTTAGGTGAAATTGCGAACAAAATTATCTGAAAAATCAGAGGAAAAGCGTTTACAAATTTTCCCGAAAATTACTGATTTATAAAAGGAAATTTGGCAACGCCTGAAGGCTCATACGGCGTTTTTCCTTGGCACGGCAGAAAACAGGGGCCATAACGGTGCGTGCAAAATGAGAATAGCGACGGGTCGTCCAGGTCGGGTCAGACACGTCACGGTAATAACGCCGTCAGTAACGCGGTCAAAAGCGCGCATCTAAAACGTCAAAAGAGCTCTGGAAAGTATGAAATTGCACAGGCTCCATCGCTCGCCTCAAAATATAGTTATTCTTTTTCATCTCGCCTACAATTTAAACTCTGGCCTAAATGCCGGCCGCAGGTGATCTTAGAAAAACCTCGTATCTACATAGGATTTTCAGCGGGCTTAGGTGGTTCTTGCATAGTGCGACGAGAATTGAGCTGCCGCGGGAGCCAGGAACTCAAAATCTGATACGCCGTTTCCGCAATGGCCGCGACTCCCTGCGTTACGGCTCCGGCAAGTACGAGGATTGCGATTGCGATACCAGGAGAAAGTAAAGCTACGGTTCCACAGGTATCCCGCGACGCGAAGTTGGTGCAACCGAGCAACGCGATGACTTTAAAGCTTTCTGTTGCCGCTGATAAGGTGACTCGCGTCAACGTCTGCGGTATACTGCCGTGCCACGGAAGAGCGCCGTATGAGCATTCGAGAGTTGCCAGATTTTTCTTGATTAAACAATTAAACATGTATTTCTGACGACACTAATGCGTATTTACCCTTAAAATTTTCAGATATTTTAGATTAAACTAGGGGGCTACGCCCCCTGGCCGCTACGCGGCCCAACCCCCTGAAGGCGCTCCGCGCCATCAATGGGCCGCTTCGCGGCCCTATTTTTACCCTCCTATCAGTGTTAGTTTTATTTTTCCTCTAAAAAATTACGATATGAGGTATACTTAATTTTAAACTTTACTTAAAATTACTTGAAAATTAAAAGGACGCATTTTGGAATGACTGCTTGATGAAATATTGCAGTAAAACAATGAACAGTGATAGTCAGGTAATAATTTAAATTGCATTAGTCGGGAGTCGAACCCACACCGATTTCCAAGTGGACGCATTCGACGTCTATGACGACTCGGCCACCGCACGATGTGAGGTTGTAGGTGCGAATCTTGTGTAGATAAGTGTAGAGCTGATGCGCAGGCTACTCAGCTACTGCGCAACCTCCTCGACCACTGCGCATCCTCCCGCGCATAGCGGTAGCAGTACCGGAGCATTCTGTAAACTTACTCATTTTTATAACGTGATTTTAAAAAAAACCTGGGTCCTTTTTCCAAAATCTGATTACAGCGGGCTCATCTAGGGCCTATTACCTGTCAATTTACGCAAAAAGCATGGAAATCGGCCCGGTAGAACGCTCAAACGAACTATGACAAAAAGTATAAATTTACATTGTTTAAATGGGAGAATTCGCAACTTTACCACGTAATATAAAAAAACCTGGGCCATATTTTGAAAATCTGCAAAGAGTTGGCTTATCTAGAGACAATTGCCCGTCGATAGCCGCAAAAATCATGAAAATCGGCCCGGTAGAACGCTGGAACTAAGCGTCACCAGTTTCGCAAAATTAGGAGGTCTTGGAGCTTATAGTATAGATAGATTGCGTACACAATGAAGATGTTGCATGTGCATTAGAGGAATTTGCGAGTTGACAATTGATTCTTATGCAAAAGTTCGTAAAAAACACGATGGTGCCGCTGGTTTTCTCTGAAATCAACTCCCAAGCTCAAAACAAGCTCTCAAGTTGAGGCCAAAATGGAGGGGATATCCCACGCTATCCTGAGCGTCCACGTCTACATCAAGACATACTCTCCATGCAAAGATAAGGAGCAAATACATTGACAGGGCTGCCACTTTATTTGGGGACTCCAAAACTGAAAAGAAAGCAACCCTGCTAATGCATTTGCTCCCTATCTTTGCATGGAGAGTTTGTTTTGATGTAGAGGTGGACTCTCAGGATAGCGAGGGATATCCCCTTCATTTTGGCCTCAACTTGAGAGCTGTTTAGGAGCTTGAGAGTTGATTTCAGAGAAAACCAGTGGCACCATCGTGTTTCTCGCGAACTTTTGCATAAGAATCAACAGTCAAATCGCAAATTCCTCACACACGCAACATCTCCATTGTCTGAAAATTTTGTGAAAAAATATTCAAAATTTTTCCTGTTAATTCGATTTTTATCGAAGGAAACTTGACAACCTTCGAGGGCTCATACGGCGTTCTTCCTTAGCACGGCAGTATAAGGCGTCTACAAAATCGTTGTGCTTGGTTGCGTTTGTCCGCGGTTGACTTCGCGCGGTCGATTTCACCAGTGGCGTGGCATATTCTGCGATGTATCGATTGATCTGCAATTTAAACCTATGGGAAAGGATCGATTAATAGGGTGTTCGCAGCGAACACCTAATAATCGATGTTTTACCACGGATTCAAATGGGAAAATATCGATAATCGATCATTCGCGCCACGCCACTGAATTTCACGTCGCCGGCTGCCTGTAAAAGCGTATCTTAACTTTGACATCGCAGCCGGCGGTTTAGACTTGACCGGACAGCATCAGTTTCCATGTGAAGCGTGCTCGCTGGCTCGAGGTGAAGTGCCATTGCTTGTTCGCAGAATTCCCCGCAAAAGCGGGGTACGGCGTGGTAAAATGAGAAAAACATGAATCACGGCTATTCCTAGTGTGTGTAGGAACAAAGCTGCTTAAATTGGACTCCATTTTACGCGAAAAAATTAGGAGTGTCATCACAACCAGCGGCTGGTTAAACACTACCGGGTTAGTTGTGTCCTTTACCGCGGTTATGTTACCGTTACTACCGCACGGTAGCCGGCGCATTTTTAACCAGCCGCTGGTCCTGACGACCATCCTATTTTTTTCGGTGTGCAAGAAAGAACTGCAATTTCTGACCCATCCATAAAAGTGCCTACCTGCATGGGGATTCCATTTTCACATTTTGTTTCTGATATGGGCCGTAGATAGTAGTTTTTGATCGCAAACTCTAGTCTATTGATCTAGTCTATTGGACTCATTGATGCTGAAAAGAGGCATGTACAGATTTTAAATAAGATCTAAAAAATTGAATACACCGAGTTTAACAAAGAAAAACTAAGTCACATTAGGATCAAACCAAGAGAAAAAGTTTAAATTTTCTTATCCATGTCCAAAATATTTCTTTTCGACTTTTGAATTTTCACGGGAGAAAAAGAAAGCTTATGAACCCCTCTTAACTCGTTTATTTCAAACATCTAATTTGGTTTATTTTTTTTTCTTTAGGTGTCTGTTAGCACATGATGGGCTTTGTTGTGGAATACGGGACTATAAAGGCCTCGATGTTACTTAGATTGTAGAAAATTGTTTGAAGTAAGACAACAGGACATGTTTGTATGAATGAAATCTCCCAGGTACCTTATTCATTGAAATAAAATTTTCCCCTATAAGAATAGATCTTAACTAAATGTTCAGTTCTTTCTTTTAATTTAAAGAAACTGTACAATCTAAGCAGCTTGCATTGTGCCTCAAGTAATTTCTCACTGCAAAGTACAGCCCAAATGCGCATAAGCCGAAATAGGATTTGTAATGAAACACAACTGTGCAAACCACACACCGTATCTGAGGGTGATATTGGTGAGGAGTTATGACAGTTGGAGCTTAGAGTTTGTTGCAAGGATGAAATTCATCTTGGTCGCCCATGAAGGTTGCGGTCGGTGAAAATTTCACCATATTCAATTAATGTGGTGAGAACTATCCCTGATAATTGCGCGTGCGCCGGATTTGTAAAAATCTTTAATCGTGAAAAATTAGTCATCTCTATTTATTTTTCCGTCCAGGGCCGGACTGGCTCACATCTGCGGGCGTACACCCTCAGACGGATAAGGGATCGTAATGTGGTATTTCGCCCACGAGGTGTGGGGGCACCCCCGAAGTGGAGAGGGGTCCAGAATTTTTGGGCAAATCAACGTCATCACGAAAAAAGACTCCGACATTAAATTCACAAAACAAGAAAAAAATTGAGTATCAACACAACCAAAGATAGGAGAGATGCAGTTGGGTCTTTTTTTTAACTCTCCCGAATTGGAGCGACACCTGTTTGGCAGCATAGAGCGGAGCATTGCGAGTTCAAGCCTCGCGCCAGTGCGCCTTCAATTTTGCGCATGCAACGCGGACATCCATCATGTGCGAATAGTTGTATCT